CTTTTTAGAGCCCGAATTCAGATTGACCATTGAATTTAGTTAAAACCATTGATTATAGAATTTTATAACCAATGGTAAGATGTGCAATTATTCAACTATCCCGAATAAATAAATATCTTCAAATCAACAATAGTACCTAAATTCCTAACTATGTACTGGTAACTAAAACAGACGGATGATCGGATACAATGGGGATATAAGGTGTTCTTAACTTAATAACAATGCATAGAAATCTAAAATCCACTCCACCTCAATAAACCCCACCATTTAGTGTGATAAAAATACTAATGAATTCTTTAAACACATTTCTTTAATTAGATGGTACATCATAATATTATTATAATAGATTAGTATAATTTTTTCACCACGGACTAGGACATTAAATGATTACTGGTGTATTAAAATTATTTTACTAAAATCTCAAGGGTAATAGTTATTTCATGTAATTAATTAAACTTTTAAAATTATTATTTTACAGTTTGTTTTTTAATTAACCATATGACTAAATGGTATTCTTTATTACTTAATATCACAAATGTTGACCATTATATTTTAGTATGGATAAATTAAAAATTAAAATGTTTAATACGCATTTACCGTTATATTGTCATAAATAAACCATAATAGGTATAATAGATTTTAGTATGGTGTATAGGATGTAATGAGTATTATTTGATTATTGCTATTGTAAGTTATCACTTGTTGGGTAAAGTGATTTTTTCATATTCCTATCGATCGCTGCATATCGATTATTGCATGTTACACCGGCACGTCAATTATTTTACGTTCACCATCGGCCGGCAAGTTGGACTGAATCAGCTGATCCAGCATCGTCTCAAGAAATTCGGCGACAGTACGTGGTATTTTATATCCTTCGTTTCTTGTTTGTAGATCCTACAAAAACACCGGAGTGCATAATTGCGATCACGGTCGGTGTAGGTATGTGGTTGTTTCAGCGTTTTCTTCTTCTATCGCTCTTATTTTTTATATTCCTGGCATCGACGATGGTGGCTAATTGCAATTAGATTTTTAACGCTGTTGCAATGGCATCGTGATCAACTATCTACRATAGTGACGTATGAACAGTAACTGAATGAATATAATAATTTGCCGGTGTCTAATAAAATAATATTTATTCGAATATCTCCGAGACAACTGCTAACGCGATACGTTATTTGATGTAATGCCAACTAGCCGGTTTATCGTGGACACATACAA